ACTAAACCAGGACAAAACCAGGACTGAGCTGGGACTACACCGGGACTGAATCGGGACTAAACCAGGACTAAACCGGGACTAAACCGGGACTAAACCGGGACTAAAGCGGGGACTGAACCAGGACTGAACCCAGATTAAACTAGGACTGAACTGGGACTGTGTAAAATATTTTCAGGGAACATGAGGCGAGGCTGGCTCCCCCATATCTGTGTTTAATACATGTATTAAACATGTATTAAACATGTATTAAACATGTATTAAACATGTATTAAACATGTATTAAACATTATGGTTCTTTGACGGTTTCAGAGCCGAGTTCAAAGAATCAAACTCAGATATTTTTTTACCTAAATTTCTGAAATGGCTCTGGTCGTGACTCTGGTCGCGGCTCTGGTCGCGGCTCTGGTCGTGACTCTGGTCGCGGCTCTGGTCGTGTTTCTGCTGTTTTTACCTGATGTACATTTTGTTCAAATCCAAATTTCAGGAAAACCTTTGGTGCTTCGGTTTGTTTCTAAAAAGGATTTTTTTCTGCACTTTGCACAAATGTGTGATAAATCTTGGAACGGTTCTGTTAAACTCTGGGGCATTAGTGACTTGTTCTGTTATAAACTCAGGTCACTGAAACAGAAAAAGGACAAAAGGGTGTGTACAGAAATGTCATGTTTTGTATGTTTTGTATTGGTTTATATAAAGAGAATAAAGATTCCTTTTGTAAAAATGTGTCCTACAATTATTATTATTATTATTATTATTATTATTATTATTATTATTATTATTAACGTTGAGTTAATGTGTAAAACACTAAAGTATTTTCTTAATATTTGAGGTAAAAATAATAAATTTTGAAACTGTTTTTATTGGTCAAATTCAACTCAAGTCCCGCCCTCCTGCCTGTCAATCATGACTAGCTCGTTTCTGAAGTTTTTGTTTTTATTTATGATTAAAACTCATAAAAAAAATGAGTTTGGTGAATTTGTCGTGAAAACGATGAAGAACACGACAACAAAGCCACAAACGTGCCCGATGAGGATCTTAAACGCTCCAGGACCGAGTTCTGTTTGAGTAAATAAAAGTTTGTCAAAGTTCGCTAATGCTAATGCTAATGCTAATGCTAAACTGGGCCCAACAGAAACTCGGCGCAGAATTTATGATTATTTTTATTTATTAATTTATGATTTTATGGTTTAAAAACGTTAACAATCTTAAATTGTTTAATTGTTTTTTATTTAATACTTTTTTATATTTACAGTTAAAAAATTGTTAAATGAGTTTGGTTTTGTTTAGGAAGAATTCAAGTATGAACAGAAGAGAAAACAACTGAAACTGGAGAATCATGAAGAAGAGCAACAAGACCCGTCTTTACCTGAACCAGAACCAGACCTGGACCAGACCTGGACCAGACCTGAACCAGAACCAGACCTGGACCAGACCTGGATCAGACCTGGACCAGACCTGAACCAGAACCAGACCTGAGACCTGGAGACCTGACCAGACCTGAACCAGAACCAGACCTGAACCGACCTGGACCTGGACCAGACCTGAACCAGAACCAGACCTGGACCAGACCTGGACCAGACCTGGACCAGACCTGGACCAGACCTGAACCAGAACCAGACCTGGACCAGACCTGGACCAGACCTGAACCAGAACCAGACCTGGACCAGACCTGAACCAGAACCAGACCTGGACCAGACCTGGACCAGACCTGAACCAGAACCAGACCTGGACCAGACCTGGACCAGACCTGAACCAGACCAGACCTGGACCAGACCTGACCAGACCTGGACCAAACCAGACCTGGACCAGACCTGAACCAGAACCAGACCTGGACCAGACCTGGACCAGACCTGAACCAGACCTGGACCAGACCTGAACCAGAACCAGACCTGGACCAGACCTGGACCAGACCTGAACCAGAACCAGACCTGGACCAGACCTGGACCAGACCTGGACCAGACCTGGACCAGACCTGGACCAGACCTGGACCAGACCTGAACCAGAACCAGACCTGAACCAGACCAGACCTGGACCAGACTGGACCAGACCTGAACCAGACCAGACCTGGACCAGACCTGGACCCTGGACCAGACCTGGACCAGACCTGAACCAGAACCAGACCTGAACCAGACCTGGACCAGACCTGGACCAGACCTGAACCAGAACCAGACCTGACCAGACTGACCAGATCTGGACCAGACCTGGACCAGACCTGAACCAGAACCAGACCTGGACCAGACCTGAACCAGAACCAGACCTGGACCAGACCTGGACCTGGTGGGACACGTGTCTCATGGTTCTGTTCTCTCTGTAAATATTCAGAGATTTAAATAAACTCACTGTTCAAATGAAGCTGAAATCCACCAACAAAACCCCCTGAACCAGGTCTGAACCAGGACTAAATCAGGTCTGAACCAAGTCTGGACCAAGTCTGAATCTGGTCTAACCTGTTTTGATGGGTAAGTTAACATTCTCTCTTCTACACATTTAAAAAACAAGTATAATACAAATACAATCAAAACTTATATTTAAATGGGACCAGGACTGGACCGGGATTGGGCCGGAACTGGACCGGGACTGGACCGGGACTAGGCCTGTCGTAGGACCATGTGGAGTCTATTATGAAGTGTTTGTAAAGCAAAGACAGACGGAGCTCAGAGATCAGAGTTTTACTGCTCAGACTCAAACGTGTGACAACAATGAGACACATCATCACCTAAACCTGTCCAGAACTAAACCAGGACTAAACCAGGACTAAACCAGGACTAAAACAGAACTAAACCAGGACTAAACCAGGACTAAAACCCAGGACTAAACCAGACTAAACCAGGACTAAACCAGGACTAAAACTAAAACAGGACTAAAACTAAACCAGGACTAAACCAGGACTAAACCAGGACTAAACCAGGACTAAAACAGGACTAAAACCAGGACTAAACCAGGACTAAACCAGGACTAAACCAGGACTAAAACAGGACTAAACCAGGACTAAACCAGGACTAAACCAGGACTAAAACAGGACTAAAACAGGACTAAACCAGGACTAAACCAGGACTAAAACAGGACTAAACCAGGACTAAACCAGGACTAAACCAGAATAAACCAGGACTAAACCTAGGACTAAACCAGGACTAAACTAAAACAGAACAGGACTAAAACAGGACTAAACCAGGACTAAACAGGGACTAAACATGGACTGTTCTAAAGCCTCCTGGAGATGTTCATGTTCCACTGGGAGGAGGCCCCAGGTCTGACCCGGGACAGACTGGAGGGTCTCTGGCCTGGGAACAGGAACCAGGACTAGACCAGGACTAGACCAGGACTAGACCAGGTCTGATTTCAGAGTGTTGCACATAATGTTAAACTGAATTACATTTGTTTCTTGTCTTTGTTGTTGGACCCACAGCTGGTTCTGGTTCTGGTTCTGGTCCAGATTCAGTTCTACCACAGAAAGACCAAAGATCCAGACCTGAAAACAGACTTCATATAGACCCATTTGAGGAAGTCCAGAACCAGGTCTGAACCGAGTCTGAGGAAGTCCTGGTCCACGGTAAGTCCTGAATTATCTCTGATGTAACTGCACCCCCCCCCAGGAGGTTGTTGCTCCTGTCATAATCTGCACCTGTCGGCCCTGGGCAGGTTCATGGATTGATTGTATTTAATTGGTTTAGTCCCGGTTTAGACTTGGTTTAGTCCCGGTTTAGACCTGAGTCGGGTTTTGGGGGTCTCTGGGAAACCCCTCAAAGTGGTGGAGTGACGTCATCCTCCACATCTGTTTCACATCTGCACATTACATAAGACCTCCAGGACCAAACCTGGACCAGGACCAAACCTGGACCAGGACCAACCTGGACCACCTGGACCAGGACCAAACCTGGACCAGGACCAAACCTGGACCAGGACCAGGACCAAACCTGGACCAGGACCGGACTGGAACCAGACCGCACCGGAATCCCAACCAGGGCTCAGATCCCCCAGGGTCCAATTATGGTCCAATTAAACTGTTCAGTTATCAGAGGTCAGAGGTCAGATGACTCATGGTCCTGTCGCCGGTCCTGTCGCCTGTCGCCGGTCCTGTCGCCGGTCCTGTCGCCTGTCGTCGTCCTGTCCTGTCGTCGTCGTCCTGTCGTCGGTCCCTGTCGTCCCTGTCGTCGCCTGTCGCCTGTCGTCGGTCCTGTCGCCGGTCCTGTCGCCGGTCCTGTCGCCGGTCCTGTCGCCGGTCCTGTCGGTCCTGTCGCCGGTCCTGTCGCCGGTCCTGTCGCCTGTCGCCTGTCCTGTCGTCGTCCTGTCGCCGGTCCTGTCGCCGGTCCTGTCGCCGGTCCTGTCGCCTGTCGTCGGTCCTGTCGCCTGTCGCCGGTCCTGTCGCCGGTCGAACATTTCACCACAGACACACATGTAGCACAGCCCCACACGTGCTCCTCTGTCAGGACTAGATCAGGTGTTTATGGAACACTCACTGTGTTATTATCGTCCCTCTGAAGTCCAGGTTCAGTCTGGACTAAACCAGGACCAGACCAAGTCCACACCAGGTCCACATCAGGTCCAAACACGTTAAAGGACTCGTAAAAACTAATGAGATCCATAAACACAACAGATGGAACTCACACTTTTATAACGAGAAAGAACAGGTCTAAACCAGGTCTAAACCAGGTCTAAACCAGGACTAAACCAGGACTAAACCAGGACTAAACCAGGTCTAAACCAGGACTAAACCAGGTCTAAACCAGGTCTAAACCACCAGGTCTAACCCAGGACTAAACCAGGACTAAACCAGGTCTAAACCAGGACTAAACCAGGTCTAAACCAGGTCTAAACCAGGTCTAAACCAGGTCTACTAAACCAGGACTAAACCAGGTCTAAAACCAGGACTAAACCAGGTCTAAACCAGGTCTAAACCAGGACTAAACCAGGTCTAAACCAGGACTAAACCAGGTCTAAACCAGGTCTAAACCAGGTCTAAACCAGGACTAAACCAGGACTAAACCAGGTCTAAACCAGGTCTAAACCAGGACTAAACCAGGACTAAACCAGGACTAAACCAGGTCTAAACCAGGTCTAAACCAGGACTAAACCAGGTCTAAACCAGGACTAAACCAGGTCTAAACCAGGACTAAACCAGGACTAAACCAGGTCTAAACCAGGACTAAACCAGGTCTAAACCAGGACTGAAGCATCAGGGTTGTTTCCATTTCAGGCCTTAAGCACAAACACTTTGTGAGTTTTTATCTCAGTCTCACTTTTCACAGACTGAACACTGACCTGAAGTGAACACTGACCTGAAGTGAACACTGACCTGAAGTAAACACTGACCTGAACACTGACCTGAATTGAACACTGACCTGAAGTGAACACTGACCTGAAGTGAACACTGACCTGAAGTAAACACTGACCTGAAGTGAACACTGACCTGAAGTAAACACTGACCTGAAGTGAAACTCACTGACCTGAATTGAACACTGACCTGAAGTGAACACTGACCTGAAGTGAACACTGACCTGAAGTGAACACTGACCTGAAGTAAACACTGACCTGAAGTGAACACTGACCTGAACACTGACCTGAAGTGAACACTGACCTGAAGTGAACACTGACCTGAAGTAAACACTGACCTGAAGTGAACACTGACCTGAAGTAAACACTGACCTGAACACTGACCTGAAGTGAACACTGACCTGAACACTGACCTGAAGTAAACACTGACCTGAAGTGAACACTGACCTGAAGTAAACACTGACTTGAACACTGACCTGAAGTGAACACTGACCTGAAGTAAACACTGACCTGAAGTGAACACTGACCTGAAGTAAACACTGACCTGAAGTGAACACTGACCTGAACACTGACCTGAAGTAAACACTGACCTGAAGTGAACACTGACCTGAAGTAAACACTGACCTGAAGTGAACACTGACCTGAACACTGACCTGAACACTGACCTGAAGTAAACACTGACCTGAAGTGAACACTGACCTGAAGTAAACACTGACCTGAACACTGACCTGAACACTGACCTGAAGTGGACACTGACCTGAAGTAAACACTGACCTGTTGACTTCTTTGGTAATGGTTGTGTTGGCGTTGGGTCTGGTTCTGGTTCTGGTTCTGGTTCTGGGTCTGAACCAGTTCTGTGTGTGTGGAGAGAGCTCCTCCTGGTGGACAACTGCAGTGGTGCAGGTCAGTCTCTTGTGCCCAGACCCAGACCCAGACTCAGACCCAGACTCAGACCCAGACTCAGACCCAGACCCCAGACTTAGACCCAGACCAGACCCCAGACCCAGACTCAGACCCAGACTCAGACCCAGACCCAGACTCAGACCCCCAGACCCAGACCCAGACCCAGACTCAGACCCAGACCCAGACTCAGACCCAGACCCAGACTCAGACCCAGACCCAGACCCAGACCAGACCAGACTCAGACCCAGACCCAGACCCAGACTCAGACCCAGACCCAGACCCAGACCAGACCCAGACCAGACCAGACTCAGACCCAGACCCAGACTCAGACCCAGACCAGACCAGACCCAGACCCAGACCCAGACCCAGACTCAGACCAGACCCAGACCCAGACCCAGACTCAGACCCAGACTCAAACCCAGACCCAGACCAGACCCAGACCCAGACTCAGACCCAGACCCAGACTCAGACCCAGACCAGACCCAGACCCAGACCAGACAGACTCAGACCCAGACTCAGACCCAGACCCAGACCCAGACTCAGACCAGACTCCAGACCCAGACCAGACCAGACCCAGACCCAGACCCAGACCCAGACCAGACTCAGACCCAGACCCAGACCCAGACTCAGACCCAGACCAGACTCAGACCCAGACCCAGACCCAGACTCAGACCAGACCCAGACCCAGACTCAGACCAGACCCAGACCAGACCCAGACCCAGACTCAGACCCAGACCCCCAGACCTCAGACCCAGACTCAGACCCAGACCAGACAGACCCAGACTCAGACCCAGACTCAGAACCCAGACCCAGACCAGACCAGACCAGACCAGACTCAGACCCAGACCCAGACCCAGACCCAGACCCAGACTCAGACCCAGACCCAGACCCAGACCCAGACTCAGACCCAGACCCAGACCAGACCCAGACCCAGACCCAGACTCAGACCCAGACCCAGACCCAGACTCAGACCCAGACTCAGACCCAGACCCAGACCCAGACTCAGACCCAGACTCAGACCTCAGACCCAGACTCAGACCCAGACCAGACCCAGACTCAGACCCAGACTCAGACCCAGACTCAGACCCAGACCCAGACTCAGACCCAGACCCAGACCCAGACCAGACTCAGACCCAGACTCAGACCCAGACCCCAGACCCAGACCCAGACTCAGACCCAGACCCAGACTCAGACCCAGACTCAGACCCAGACCCAGACTCAGACTCTGTGGGTCTTGTTAAACTTTGACCTGTCTGTGAGCTGTTTGGGTCCAGTGACCTCTGACCTTTGACCTGCTCGATTTCATCTCTAAAAAAGTCAACAACAGAACTAAACCAGGTCTAAACCAGGACTAAACCAGGACTAAACCAGGACTAAACCAGGTCTAAACCAGGACTAAACCAGGACTAAACCAGGACTAAACCAGGACTAAACCAGGACTGAATCAGGTCTAAACCAGGACTAAATCTGCTTGAATAAACCTTTAAGAGTTGTTCTCTATTTAAAATTAAACCTGATGCCCTTCCCTTCTGTCTCCTGATTGGAGGAGGAGGGGTGTTTGCTGCGCTGTGATTGGAGCAGAGCAGGTCATGTGACCCACGTGAATCATTCATGAATCTGACACAAAAAACTACAGGACCAAAGCAGAACTAAACCAGGTCTAGACCAGGAGCAGGAGCAGGACCAGGACCAGGAGCAGGACCAGGAGCAGGACCAGGAGCAGGACCAGGACCAGGAGCAGGACCAGGACCAGGACCAGGACCAGGACCAGGAGCAGGACCAGGAGCAGGAGCAGGAGCAGGATCATGTCTCGTCTGGTGGAGTGTGTGCCAAACTTCTCTGAGGGGAGAAACAAAGAGGTGAGATTTTATTTGTTTATTAGAATCTTAATTTTAACCTCCAGTTCCTCAGGTCTGTGCCCCTGTCTGCTCCTGTCTGCCCCTGCCTGTCTGCCCCCTGTCTGCCCTGTCTGCCCCTGCCTGCTCCTGCCTGCTCCTGTCTGCCCCTGTCCTGCCCCTGTCTGCTCCCTGTCTGCCCTCCTGTCTGCCCTGTCTGCCCCTGTCTGCCCCCTGCTCCCTGTCTGCTCCTGTCTGCTCCTGTCTGCCCCTGTCTGCCCCTGCCTGCTCCTGTCTGCTCCTGTCTGCCCCTGTCTGCCCCTGCCTGCTCCTGTCTGCCCTGCCTGCCCTCTGCTCTCCTGTCTGCCCTGTCTGCCCCTGCCTGCTCCTGCCTGCTCCTGTCTGCCTGTCTGCTCCTGTCTGCTGCCTGTCTGCTCCTGTCTGCTCCTGTCTGCTCCTGTCTGCTCCTGTCTGCCCCTGTCTGCCCCTGTCTGCCCCTGCCTGCTGCCCTGTCTGCTCCTGTCTGCCCTGTCTGCCCTGCTGCCCCTGTCTGCCTGTCTGCCCCTGCCTGCTCCTGTCTGCTCCTGTCTGCTCCTGTCTGCTCCTGTAAATATTCTCTGGACTTTGAGGATGTTTTTTGTATTTTGGGGTAAATTTTTAACCCCCGAGTCGCTCTGACCTCTGACCCCCGAGGGACTGAACCCAAACTGAACCAACAACCAGACTCAGACCAGACAGAGTCCAGATCCAGACCGAGACCTGCTCCAGACCTGAGACCTGCTCCAGACCTGAGACCTGAGACCTCCTCCAGACCTGAGACCTGCTCCAGACCTGAGACCTGCTCCAGACGTGTCTCTCTCTCTCTCTCTTCTCTCGTCTTCATCCCTCTCTCCTCTCGTCTCTTCTCGTCCTTCAGGTGATCGAGGCGATCTCTCTCTCTCTCTCTCTCTCGTCTCGTCTTCATCCCTCTCTCCTCTCGTCTCTTCTCGTCCTTCAGGTGATCGAGGCGATCTCTCTCTCTCTCTCTCTCTCTCTCGTCTCGTCTTCATCGAGGCGATCTCTCTCTCTCTCTCTCTCGTCTCTCCTCTCGTCTCTTCTCGTCCCTCAGGTGATCGAGGCGATCTCTCTCTCTCTCTCTCTCTCGTCTCGTCTTCATGATCGAGGCGATCTCTCTCTCTCTCTCTCTCGTCTCTTCTCGTCTCTTCTCGTCCTTCAGGTGATCGAGGCGATCTCTCTCTCTCTCTCTCTCTCGTCTCGTCTTCATCCCTCTCTCCTCTCGTCTCTTCTCGTCCTTCAGGTGATCGAGGCGATCTCTCTCTCCGTCTCTCAGACTCCGGGTGTTTCTCTTTTGGACGTTGATCCCGGCGTCTCCACAAACCGAACCGTCTTCACGTTTGTGGGGAGTCCTGAGGCCGTCGTGACCGCCGCCCTGAACGCCGCCAAGACCGCCCACGAACGGATCGACATGACCACGCACCGAGGTCTGGACCTGGACCGGGACTAGACCAGAACCAGACCAGGACCAGGTCCAGGTCCAGGACCAGGACTAGGACTAGGACTAGGACTAGGACCAAGACAAGACCAAGACAAGACCACCCACCAGCACATCGACATGACCACACACCAAGGTCTGGACTGGGACCAGACCAGGACCAGACCAGACCAGGACCAGACCAGGACCACAGGGTTTCTGCGAGGCATTAAAAGACCTTAAACAGGGCTGTGACTGATGCTCAGCTTGACTCTGGTCTCCTGACCTCAGTGAGCTTCACTTGACTCGAGCTCTGTGACTGAGACTAAACACAGCGACAAGAACCTGACCCGAACCTCACCCGAACCTCACCAGAACCTGACCAGAACCTGACCCTCTCCTTTTATGGTGAGGTGGAGGTGTTAGGGGGCGTGGTCTGTCCTTTTATGGTGAGGTGGAGGTGTGAGGGGGCGTGGTCTGTCCTTTTATGGTGAGGTGGAGGTGTGAGGGGGCGTGGTCTGTCCTTTTATGGTGAGCTGGAGGTGTTAGGGGCGTGGTCTGTCCTTTTATGGTGAGGTGGAGGTGTGAGGGGGCGTGGTCTGTCCTTTTATGGCGAGGTGGAGGTGTGAGGGGGTGTGGTCTGATTGCAGGTGGAGCACTGAGAGTTTTATTTTGTTTGGTGGCCACAGGAGTTTGGGAAAAGTTCTTCACAGTCCTTTATATGAGACCCCTGGTCTCTGGTCTGGTCTGGTCTCTGGTCTGGTCTCTGGTCTGGTCTCTGGTCTCTGGTCTCTGGTCTGGTCTCTGGTCTGGTCTGGTCTCTGGTCTCTGGTCTGGTCTGGTCTGGTCTGGTCTCTGGTCTCTGGTCTCTGGTCTGGTCTCTGGTCTCTGGTCTCTGGTCTCTGGTCTCTGGTCTCTGGTCTGGTCTCTGGTCTGGTCTGGTCTCTGGTCTCTGGTCTGGTCTCTGGTCTCTGGTCTCTGGTCTCTGGTCTGGTCTCTGGTCTCTGGTCTCTGGTCTGGTCTCTGGTCTCTGGTCTCTGGTCTCTGGTCTCTGGTCTCTGGTCTGGTCTAGTCTGGTCTGGTCTCTGGTCTCTGGTCTCTGGTCTGGACTCTGATCTCTGGTCTGGACTCTGATCTCTGGTCTCTGGTCTGGTCTCCGGTCTAACCCTGGTCTGGTCTCTGGTCTTTAGGGGAGCATCCTCGTCTGGGGGCGTTGGACGTTTGTCCTTTCGTCCCGGTGCAGAACGTCTCCATGGACGACTGTGTGAAATGTGCAGAGGAGTTTGGACAGAAACTCGCCCAGACTCTGCAGGTCCCAGGTGAGAACTAAACCAGGACTAAATATACACGACTAAACCAGGACCAAACCAGGACTATATCAGGTCTAACCCATGTGTCTGCAGTGTATCTGTACGGAGCAGCAGCTCGCTCCGAGTCCAGGAGGAGTCTCCCTTCAGTCAGAGCCGGAGAGTACGAGGGTCTGCCCCAGAAGGTCTGACCTCTGACCCCTGTGACCTCTGTGACCTCTGTGACCCCTCTGACCCCTGTGACCTCTCTGACCCCTGTGTTCACCTGTGCTCACCTGTACACGTGCGTCTCTGATTGGTCCTCTCTCTCTGCAGCTGCAGTGCTCTGATTGGGCCCCTGACTTTGGCCCCGCCCACTTCGTTCCGTCCTGGGGCGCCACGGTGACGGGCGCCAGAAAGTTCCTCATTGCCTTTAACGTGAATCTCCTGAGCACCAAAGAACAAGCCCATCGTATCGCCCTGGACATACGAGAGCAGGGACGCGGCAAGGACCGGGTAAGACCGGGGCAAGACCGGGGTAAGACCCGGGGCAAGACCGGGGTAAGACCGGGGTTAAGACTGGGGCAAGACCGGGGCAAGACCGGGTTTAGACCGGGGTAAGACCGGGTTTAGACCGGGGTAAGACTGGGGCAAGACCGGGTATCTGTACTCTGTGTAGTAGTACTGCAGTATTTGAAGTATTTGTTGTACTTTCAGCCCGGTCTGCTGCAGAAGGTCCAGGGGATGGGCTGGTTTCTGGAGGAATCAAACTTGGCTCAAGTTTCCACAAACATCTTGGACTTTGAGGAAACTCCAGTTCACCAGGTTTATGAACAAGTGTGTTCCAAAGCACGAGTGAGTACTACAGTACTACTACTACTACTACTACTGCAAATACTGCTACTACTGCAATTACTACTACCTTTAAGACCTCAAAGACCTGAGTTTAAGGCCTCCAAGACCTGAGTTTAAGTGCATTTGTTTTACAGGAGCTGAAGTTACCGTAGTACTATGTAGTATCTGTCTGTGTACTGCAGTGTTGCAGTAGTACTAGTTTTAGTAAAAGTATTATAATATTTGTAGTACTTGTAGTATTTGTAGTACTTGTTCTACAGGAGTTGAAGTTGCCTGTGGTGGGCTCTGAGGTGGTGGGACTGCTCCCCCTTCAGGCCGTGTTGGACACTGCAGAATTTTACATCAAAAGAGACGAACTGTTTGTGATCGAAGAAGAACACAAAGTCCGACTGGTCAGAAAACACACGCCGATACTTTTATATATTTATATATTTATACTTCACTTTTACACATTTATACTTCACATTTATATATTTATACATTTATACTTTTATATATATTTATATATTTATACTTTTATATATTTATACATTTATACTTTATATATTTATACTTTTATATATTTTATACTTTTATACATTTATATATTTATACTTCACTTTTACACATTTATACTTCACATTTATATATTTATATATTTGTAGTTCACTTTTGCGGCGTGTCTGATGGTTTTGTGTTTGTGTTGTGTTTGTGTTGTGTTTGTGTTGTGTTGTGTTTGTGTTGTGTTTGTGTTGTGTTTGTGTTGTGTTTGTGTTGTGTTGTGTGTTTGTGTTGTGTTTGTGTGTTGTGTTTGTGTTGTGTTGTTTGTGTTGTGTGTTGTGTTGTGTTTGTGTTTGTGTGTGTGTTGTGTTGTGTTTGTGTTTGTGTTTGTGTTGTGTTGTGTTGTGTTTTGTGTTGTGTTTGTGTTTGTGATGTGTTTGTGTTGTGTTTGTGTTGTGTTTGTGTTTGTGTTTGTGTTGTGTTTGTGTGTGTGTTGTGTTGTGTTGTGTTGTGTGTTGTGTTTGTGTTTTGTGTTTGTGTTGTGTTGTGTTGTGTGTGTGTGTTTGTGTTGTGTTTGTGTGTGTTTGTGTTGTGTTGTGTTGTGTTGTGTTTGTGTTTGTGTTTGTGTTGTGTGTTGTGTTTGTGTTTGTGTTTGTGATGTGTTGTGTTTGTTTGTGTTTGTGTGTTTGTGTTGTGTTTGTGTTGTTTTGTTGTTGTGTTTTGTGTTATGTGTTGTGTTGTGTTGTGTTGTGTTTGTGTTGTGTTGTGTGTTGTGTTTGTGTTGTGTTGTGTTGTGTGTGTTTGTGTTTGTGTGTGTTTGTGTTGTGTTTGTGTTGTGTTTGTGTTGTGTTGTTGTGTTGTTTGTGTGTGTTTGTGTTTGTGTGTTTTTGTGTTGTTTGTGTTGTGTTTTGTGATGTGTTTGTGTTGTGTTTGTGTTGTGTTTGTGTGTGTTGTGTGTTGTGTTTGTGTTTGTGTGTGTGTTTGTGTTGTGTTGTGTTGTGTGTGTTGTGTTTGTGTTTGTGTGTGTTTGTGTTGTGTGTGTTTGTGTTGTGTTTGTGTTTGTGTTGTGTTGTTGTGTGTTTTGTGTTGTGTTTGTGTTGTGTGTGTTTGTGTGTGTTTGTGTTGTGTTTGTGTTGTGTGTGTTTGTTGTTTGTGTGTGTTTGTTTGTGTTTGTGTTGTGTTGTGTGTGTGTTTGTGTGTGTTTGTGTTGTGTTTGTGTTGTGTTTGTGTTGTGTTTGTGTTTGTGTTTGTGTTGTGTTTGTGTTGTGTTTGTGTTGTGTTTGTGTTGTGTTTGTGTTGTGTTTGTGTTGTTTTGTGTTGTGTTTGTGTTTGTGTTGTGTTTGTGTTGTGTTGTGTTTGTGTTGTGTTGTGTTTTGTGTTGTGTTTGTGTGTTTGTGTTGTGTGTTTGTGATGTGTTTGTGTTGTGTTTGTTTGTGTTTGTGTTGTGTTTGTGTTGTGTTTGTGTTGTGTGTGTTGTGTTGTGTTGTGTTTGTGATGTGTTTGTGTTGTGTTTGTGTTGTGTTTTGTGTTGTGTTGTGTGTGTTTGTGTTGTGTTTGTGTTTGTGTTTGTGTTGTGTTTGTGTTGTGTTGTGTTTGTGTGTGTTTGTGTTGTGTTTGTGTTTGTGTTTGTGTTGTGTGTTGTGTTTGTGTGTGTTGTGTGTGTTTGTGTTGTGTTTGTGTTGTGTGTTGTGTGTTTTGTGTTGTGTTTGTGTTTGTGTTGTGTTTGTGATGTGTTTGTGTGTGTGTTGTGTTGTGTTGTGTTGTGTTGTGTTGTGTTTTGTGTTGTGATGTGTTTGTGTTGTGTTTGTGTTGTGTTTGTGTTGTGTTTGTGTGTTTGTGATGTGTTTGTGTTGTGTTTGTGTTGTGTTTGTGTTTGTGATGTGTTTGTGTTGTGTTTGTGTTGTGTTTGTGTTTGTGTTGTGTGTGTGTTTGTGATGTGTTTGTGTTGTGTTTGTGTTGTGTGTTTTGTGATGTGTTTGTGTTGTGTTTGTGTTGTGTTTGTGTTGTGTGTGTTGTGTTGTGTGTGTGTTTGTGTGTGTTTGTGTTGTGTTTGTGTGTTGTGTTGTGTTTTGTGTTGTGTTGTGGTTTGTGTGTTTTGTGTTTGTGTTGTGTTGTGTGTGTTGTGTGTGGATTGTGTGTTGTGTTGTGTGTTGTGTTGTGTTGTGTTGTGTTGTGTGTGTGTGTTGTGTTGTGTTTGTGTTTGTGTTTGTGTTTTGTGTGTTGTGTTGTGTGTGTTTGTGTTGTGTGTTTGTGTTGTGTTTGTGTTTGTTGTGTTGTGTTTGTGTGTGTTTGTGTTGTGTTGTGTTGTGTTGTGTGTTGTGTGTTGTTTGTGTTTGTGTGTGTGTTGTGTTGTGTGTTGTGTTGTGTTTGTGTGTTGTGATGTGTTTGTGTTGTTTTGTGTTGTGTTGTGTGTGTGTTTTGTGTTTGTGTTGTGTTGTGTTTGTGTGTGTTTGTGTTGTGTTTGTGTGTTTGTGTTGGTTTGTTTGTGTTTGTGTTGTGTTTGTGATGTGTTTTGTGTTGTGTTTGTGTTTGTGTGTGTTGTGTGTGTTTGTGTTGTTGTGTTGTTGTGTTTTGTGTTGTTTTGTGTGTGTTGTGTGTGTTGTGTTGTGTTGTGTGTGTTGTGTTTGTGTGTTTGTGTTTGTGTTGTGTTTGTTTGTTGTGTGTTGTGTTTGTGTGTGTGTGTTGTTTGTGTTGTTGTTTGTGTTGTGTGTGTTTTGTGTTGTGTTTGTTTGTGTTGTGTGTTGTGTGTTTGTGTTTGTGTTGTGTTTGTGTTGTGTTTGTGTTGTGTTTGTGTTGTGTTGTGTTTGTGGTTGTGTTTGTTTTGTTTTGTAGGTGGTCAGTAAACTGGGCCTGGACTCACTCGGACCCTTCAACCCCAAAGAGAGAATCATAGAGTCAGTAC